GACTGAGAGAAGGCCAGTCTCTTGGAAGCATAGGGATGGAGAAATAGAGAAGTCAAGGGCAAAAGCCACACTACACAGAACCCTGTAGGAAGGCAGGGTAGATATTACTGAGGCAGGATGGGAGAAAAGGAAAGTAGGCATGATGCATCAAAGCAGATCATAAAATCAAATGGATGACAGCTTAAGATAAGTAGGGAGAGTAGAATCAAGGGCTTCTTAGTAAGAAAAGAAGTCCTCAGTACATGAGCTAAATAGGTCATCCTGGGAGAGGAAGCAGTTATGATGTGGTTAGGTTTTCTGACTTTGTGTTACTTCACTGTGCTACTCATCACTGGAGAAGCCTCTGACTGGGAAGAAATGAGATGAGGGCACTGAGGTGAATATCATGCCATGTAGCTCAGAAATGTTGAGTTTTGAGATGCCTCTAAATCCACATGGAAAATCTTATCAGGAAATTGGATGGGTGGGTATGAAACTCACAGGACTTTTGAGGCTAGGAGAGACCTAAGACCAATTGCTGAATGTATGGACAGGGGGCTAGCTGATGGGTGAAAATGGCCTTGGAGCTTTCCTCATTCCTTAACTCAGTACCTGGGATAGTTGTTCTCAATCTCTAAGCTACCTCCAGAGAGGGAAATCTTGTTTCCTTCCTGAAGTGAAAAATTGTGCTCATTACATGCCAAATTTTGAACTCTGGGATTATGGTTTTCAAAGAAACATGATATATGGCTTAACTGCTCAAGAATTCTCACATTTGCCAGAACAATAATATCTGGTTGTGGGAACCGGATGGGTAAATATAATTATTTGAAGAATATTCTTTCAGAGTTCCAGTAAGTCCCTTTTAGTTTGGGAATACTTGTGAAAAAAAAAAAAGCCAGCTATATACTGTATTAATTCTAAAAACTTACATTAAAATGAAATTACAGCACCTTAAGCCATTCCCATGCATTTCAGAAAATATTAAGCTGACGAAGTCACCTTCTTAATAAGGGGAGCCTTATGAGCCTATCACTTGTCTTATAAGCCGTCCCCAATATGCAGAAATTTCTGTAGATTAGGAACTTACTACCATATGCAGAAGAGTATTTAGACCTCAGTATGGACATTATTAAATATTTTTAAACATAATTGTATCTACTTAGTATTTGAAGAAAAGAAAACTACCTATGGTGCTCCACCTTGAGGAAATATTGAGAAGTAAATGTAACCAGTGGAAAATAAGTGAACTCTCCTACACCTTTCTCTACTCTGGCTGTATTCTTTTTTGCCTTGACTAGAACATTAATAACTCTATGCTGCTCTCTAGTGGAAATGAGACAGTGTAAGTCCATTAGAAAGTTTCACTTTTTAATTCTCTCTTTTTTTTAATGAAATTCTAAGCCAAAGCAATAAGAAAAAGTATTTATCATGGGAATAATTTCTTAGTTTGCTTACAATGACAGCAGAAAGTGTCATTCAGCGCTATATCTATCTAATTATTACTCTAGCTTCAAATGGTTTCTAATTAAATAAAAGAAGCACAAATGCTTGTCTTTTTTTTTATTGTAAAGATACTATACAGAGGGTTACAGTTACATGAGTGAGGTAATGAGTACACTTCCTCTTGAACATTGTTAGCCCCTCCATTGTTTTCCCCCTACCATCCCCTTCCTCCCTCCCTTCCCGAAGTTTTTTTTTTTTTTTTTTTGATTGTGATTAAGTGATTACATAATTTCTAAGTCACAAGTTCATTCTAACTTTCCTGGAGCAAATTGTCTATCACAGTCATCACAGTCTGTAATATATAACAGTGTTCACATGTTATACACCATACATGTGATCAGCAGCATGGGGATATTTAGTAGTGGTTCAACCAGATGAGTAGGAGTTCTTTGTTTCTTAAGTCCTGTTAGTTTTGTCATATCACCTAACATTTTGGATTTAGCATCCACTTATCAGGGAGACCATGTACCGTTTGTCTCTTTGCTCTTGGCTTACCTCGCTCAACATGATTCCTTCCAGCTCCATCCATTTCCCTGCAAATGCCATTATTTTGTCATTTCTAATGGCTGCATAATATTCCATTGTGTATAGATACCACAATTTTTGGATCCATTCATCTGTGGTGGGGCATCTGGGTTGTTTCCATATCCTAGCTATTGTGAACAGTGCTGCAATAAACATGGAGGTGCACGTGTCCTTGTATATTGGTTCCTGTTGTTCAGGGTAGATGCCTAGAAGTGGTATGACTGGGTCGTAAGGGAGGTCAATCTTTAGCTTTCTAAGGACCCTCCAGACTGCTTTCCAAAGTGGTTGTATAAGTGTACATTCCCACCAGCAGTGTAATAGGGTTCCTCTTTCTCCACATCCCCTCCAGCATTTGTCGTTGGCTGATTTGTGGATGTGGGACATTCTGACTGGGGTAAGGTGGTATCTCAGGGTTGTCTTTATTTGCATTTCCTTCACCACCAGGGATGATGAACATTTCCTCATGTGTTTCTTTGCCATTTTTATTTCTTCATTTGAGAAGTCCCTCTTTAGTTCCCTTGCCCATTTAGTAATTGGTTTGTTAGGTTTGGGAGGGATTAGTTTCTTGAGTTCCCTGTATATACAGGATGTTAACCCCTTGTCTGATATATTGCTGGTAAATATTTTTTCCCAATTAGTTGGTTGTCTTTCTAGCTTAGTTGCGATAGATTTAGCTGTGCAGAAGCTTTTTATTTTAAGGTAGTCCCATTTGTCGAGTCTCTCTCCAACTTGTTGTGACCCTGGGACTCTGTTCAGGAAGTTCCTTCCTGTGCCTATTAGTTCAAGTGTCTCTCCTACTCTGTCCTGCAGTAGTTTCAGAGATTCAGATTTAATATTAAGGTCTTTAATCCATTTTGAGTTGATGTTGGTGCATGGTGATAGGCTGGGGTCCACTTTTAGTTTTCTGCATGTGGCTGCCCAGTTTTCCCAGCACCAGCGGTTGAAGAGGCTGTGTTTCTTCCATTGTATGTCTTTGGCTCCTTTGTCGAATATCAGCTGGCTGTAGGCCTGTGGATTTATTTCTGGATCTTCTATTCTGTTCCATTGGTCTTCGGGTCTGTTTTTGTGCCAGTACCATGCTGTCTTTGTTATTATAGCTCTGTAGTAGAGTTTGAAGTTCGGCATGGATAGCCCTCCCATATTGTCTTTATCCCCTAGAATTGTTTTGGCTATTCTAGGTCTTTTGTTGTTCCATATAAATTTTTGGACTGTTTTCTGTATTTCAGTGATGTACGTCATTGGGATTTTAATAGGAATTGCATTGAATTTGTATATTAGTTTTGGAAGTATTACCATCTTTACTATATTAAGTCGGCCTATCCAGGAGCATGGGAGGTCTTTCCATTTCCTAGTGTCTTCTGCAATTTCTTTCTTTAACTTTTTATAGTTCTCATTAAATAGTTCTTTTACATCTTTGGTTAGGTTAATTCCTAAATATTTTATTTTTTGGGAGGTTATTGTGAATGGGGTTGCTCCCTTTATTTCCCTCTCTTCCTGTACGTTATCAGTGTATAGGAAGGCAACTGATTTTTGTGGGTTTATTTTGTATCCTGCTATTTTGCCGAAGTGACTTATGATTTCTAAAAGTTTGGGGATGGAGTTTTTGGGATCGTGGAGGTATAGTATCATGTCGTCTGCAAAAAGGGATAGTTTAACTTTTTCTTTCCCTATGCGGATCCCTTTAATGTCTTTTTCTTGCCTTATTGCCCTGGCTAAGGGTTCTAGGACTATGTTGAAGAGGAGTGGAGACAGTGGGCATCCTTGCCTTGTTCCTGATTTTAGGAGGATTGGTTGTAGCTTTTCCCCATTAAGTATAATATTGGCTATTGGTCTGTCATAAATGGCTTTTATTGTTTTTAGAAATGTTCCTTCTATTCCTATTTTCTCCAGAGCTTTTAGCATGAATGAATGTTGAATTTTATTAAAGGCCTTTTCTGCATCTGTGGCGATAATCATGTGATTCTTGACCGCTTGTCTTTTTTTTGATGGTGGGGTGGGTTGCTACTAAGCTTTGAACTTGGCTTCCAGCTTCTTAGGCAGGCCATCTACCACTTGAGTCATGACCACCCTCCCTACCCACCCACCTAGCCCATTTTGCTTTAGTTATTTTCTAGATGGAGTCTCTTATTATTTTTGCCTTTCCTAATTCCAGCCTTGCTTTCCATCTACTCACATCTCCCCTGTAGATGTGATTAAAGGCATGAACTACCATATCTGGTTCCACTATCTTAAAAGAAAATTATTGTCATTCATTAGGTATCTTGATTTGTTAATGTATTATATCAAGTGTGCTCCCTTCTTCTCCCTTCTAGCCCCTAATACCTTAAAACTAAAGTAGCACTAAATAACTTGATTCACAGAAGAAAATTCTCATTTTTTAAATTTATTTAAATTTAACATTTAAATATGTTCCTACTTAACAATTTAAAATGAGTAGCCACATATATATGTCAATATATAAATTTAAAATTTAAACTTTGCACTTGGAAAATACATTTCAAGAACTTTATTATATGAACAAACCTGAAAAAAACCTAAAACCATTACAACTATTTTTAAAGTTTTTTCTAGAAATAATTTTTTTCTCAGCAAGGGAAAAAAATAATCCAGATGAACAAATTCCTTGCTAAATAAATTTTTGTAGTAGGGGAAGGAATAAGAGCAGGATCATGTACTTAATAAAATCCAAAAGAACAATAATAAGAACAAATTTACCAAAAGGACTCTTTCTCACATATATTCTCTCTCATAATATCAAGCTATATAGAATAATAGTTAAGAGTGTGACATGTTATTCTTTCCTATATGTAAAATCTATTGTTAGGACAGAGATCCTTGAGGGTGAAAGTCTATTTTGCAATCCTTTTTTATCCTTCATTGAGGACCTCCAGGTTCTACTAAAACTTATTGATAAAGTAGGAAAACAACTTTACAACTGGTGAGTATTTTGTTTGGATAATGGGAGGGAATGTTTTTACTTTTATTTTTACCTTGTGACAATCTCCTCCAGGAATGACTTCTTGGATATATACCAATGGGCCTTCATTCCTGTTAATTCCTCCTAGGATTTTCAGACCCAGGCCTGTTTCCTTGGTAATTGTTATTATCTGAAAGGCAGGATTCCTAGGAGAAAAATAAGGAAGTACTCATAGGTTAGGCTAAAGGTCTATACCCTATCTCTTCTTTATATTGTTGAAGCAGACAACCCAAATGCTTAGCACCATTAGCAACTACATTTACAAAGTATGGTGATAAACAAGCAGCCAAACAGATTCTCTTACTTACCGATATTTTAAATTCTGTTTTTCAAAACAACTAAAACATAAAATGAATTTATAGAAATAATGCTTACTTCTGTGGAGTAAAATATAAAAAAATATTTTAAACACACAAAATAAATAACCTCCATTTCAATCTTTTAAATTTAAAAAGAATTTCTTTTCCTATTACAAAAATAGTATTTGTTCCAGCTACCCTTTCTACAAAAGTATAAAAGGATTCTACAAAAGGTATCACCAGTTTATGTTTTTGAAATTCAATACAGTGAATTCTCTGGTTAAACAAAATCTGAATTTCAATTTGGTCAAAGTTTGAAGTAAGGCTTATGTCAGCCTGTTTATGCACCATGGAACTAGACTGAACAATATACATGCATAATGCCATTCAAAGTAATCTAAAAGACTCTGAAGATTTTTACCCTCATTTTCTTTTTCTAAAAGATCCCAAAGTCTTACAGCTTAAGTTGGTGGGCCTAGGGCACAAATTTAGGAAGTGTTATCCCCATTTGCCTTTCTTCAGAGGCAGAAGGTGGTCTAGATCTGCCTCACCGGTGCATTAAGTCATTGCAGAGTACAGAGGATCTCCAGCTAACTCCCAACATACCAAACCCTGATATGATCTCGGAGAAAAGTGACTTCATGCCATAACATATCACTGTATCTATCTTTCAGAAAAAGCTTTCTGAACATTCTTTTCAAAGGATAAAAAAGAATGAAAAACATTAAAATACAGCATCGGCTATTGGATATTTTCTTCTCTATGTATGAATCACATCTCAGATTTGCTGTACTGTTTCAGCTCTATAAGCCCATGTGGTTACTAGGACAACAGACAATTAGCTACATAAAAGCCAAGAAGGACTGGGTCCAGATGTTCTATTTATATGGATTTCATCACCCCAACAAATTCTTCAAGGGACATTAGGTTACAAAAGCAGAATGAAACCTCAAAGGAGAGCCTAAGGAGAGAACAGAAACTAAGCTATCCATCTCTCAATTCAGCAGCCAATCTCTGCAGTGACCTCTACACCCCTCTAAATGTGAATTTCTTTCAAAAATTACACATAACCTTTAGCATACATTATTTTTTTCAATGAAAGACTCATCTTTTTCTAATCCAAACATAGCATGTGTTATTCAAATAATAGTGTACTTACTTCTTATCTTTTTTGCCATGATGGTTTTGTTTCTGAATTGACATTGAACTATATCAATAGGGCCTGAACTCAGGACCTGGTCTTTGACTCAAGGCTAATACTCTACCACTTGAGCCACATAGTCACTTCCAGAATTTTCTGAGTAATTTATTGGAGATAAGAGTCTCACAGACTTTCCTGCCTGGGCTGGCTTGGACTTGGAATCCTCAGATCTCAGCCTCCTGAGTAGCTAAGATTATAGGCATGAGCCAGTGGTGCTCAGCTGTATATCAATAGTTTTATAACTTCCTTTTTACACAGAATTGTTATATGCAAGCTCCAAAATCATAATAGCGGTATAAACGTTATACATGTTTAAGTCTTTGTTTCAGGGGTTGGGGGAGGTCTGAACTAAATCTTCCGGCCTGCTAAGCAACTCTCTACTACTTAAGCCAAGGCTCAGGCCTGTTTGCCTTTAGTGTATTTTTCAAATAGGGTCTTGAATTTTTACCTGGGTTAGCCTCTGACTGCAACCTTACTACCTGCACATCAAGTAGAATCTTGCACTTTTTTATGTATGTGCTGGTACTAGAGCTTTTACTTGAGGACTCACAGACTTATTTAGCTTTTTTTTATTCCAGATGGACACTCTACCAATTGAGCCATACCTCTCCATTTCTGGTTTTTTGCTGGTTAATTAGAGATCAGAGTCTCTCAGATTTGTCTGCTTTAGCTGGTTTCAAACTTTGATCCTCAGATCTCAGGCTCACGAGTAGCTAGGGTTATAATTGTGAGGCATCAGAGCCCAGCAGGATATTGTACTTAAGTGCCTGGCTTAATACCTTCCTTAAAAAACTTCTAATTAAATGTTAATGAATAGTACATGTATTTTGCTCACTAATATGTAAATGTTTAGTAAATGGATAGTAATGCTAATTATTTGTAAACATGTTCACAAATAGTAAATATATTTCAAAGTGTAAGAAAGTAGTTAGTTTAAAATTTACTTTTCAAGTAGGCTCGATGGTTCTGCAGCAGACAGAAGTTTGTTCATGTTTTCACCCCAGTCCTGGGGACTTAACAGCTGTGTAAATGAAGATCTTGATGAAGAGTTTAGAAATCCTCTTCCAAAGACTGGAACAATAGGAAACAAATTGTTAGGTCTCAAAACAGTTCAGTTTGATGCCAACTTTGCATAAAAACATCATATTGTTGAGGAAGAACACAAGTTAGCCACTTAAGGGACAGCTATCGGAAAAACCAGTTTTTGGAAAAGTTCTCAGAAAACCCACAATCGAAACTGCAATTATACCCCTAGCAACTGCCAGTTAGACAAAGGGTTGAGAAACACGTCCCCAGTTGCTGGAAAATGGACAGGTTGGTCAAGTTCCTGGAAAAAGCAGCTGTAGGGTCATAAACAATTAAAAAATATATTGTTGCCTGCATTCCTATGGGTAGTCTTATGTATCCCAACCAATGATCTGCTTGTTATGTATGATTTAACCAATCCTGTAATCACTAAGTTGGAAAGCCCCTACCCTTACTGGAAATGATTATGCCCCTAACCAATGAGCCTACCCTGAAACTTGCCCGTGAAATGCTGACCAATTATGTAGAAGCCCGTAAACCTTAAGCCAATCATGTAACTGCTAGGATGGAAACCCCCTCTTCTTGCTGGAAACCCTATAAAAACCTTGCTGAACATGTGGCCGGGACTCTCAACTCTGACCCACTGCGTCAGTGACAATGTGAGTCCTGGCTCCAGCTTGCAATAAATGGCTCTTGTGTACTTGCATGGGACTTGGCTCCCTGGTGGTCTTTGGGGGTCTGCAGCCTGGCACAACAATATATGCATGGCACAGAAATATATAAAAAAGTCATCTAGGCTGGGCACCCGGTGGCTCATGTCTGTAATCCTAGCAACTCAGTAGGCTGAGATGTGAGGATCATGATTCGAAGTTCAAAGCCAACCCAGGCAGTTATGAGATTCTTATTTCTAATTAAGTACCAAAAAAGCTGTGGTTCAAGTGGTAGAGCTATAGCCTGAGTGCAAAAGTACAGGGACAGTGCCCAGGCTCTGAGTTCAAGCCCCAGGACTGGCAAAAAAAAAGAAACAAAAAAACAAAAGCATTAGGTAAACATGACACATATGCATACCTGCATATAGATGCTTATGCAAATCCATACCTTCATTATTTTGCAGCTCTATATAAAATCTGTGTTCTTTGGCAAAAGGGATGCACCGAATGAAATTTTAGGTAACTATTACAACTTGCACCAGAGCTAAGCTTAAAAATTACATACCAACAAAAGTTTGAGGACAATGTCTCTTGTGAGGATTAGGCTATAAAGAGTGTGGTCAGAAAAATAATTGAACAATACACTAGAAGAGAAACAAAATTCTTAGCTCATCAGCTCTCTTGAGGAACTTCCTGCAGAGTCTATATTACTCTGACTCATTGTACTTTATGAGCTTCAACAGTTTCCTATGAAAAGACTTAAAAAATATGATTTTAATGTCTTCTATAGCTCCACTGTGAAAATTACAGGCAATCGTGTAGTTTCATTTAATTAAAACAATCTGAACAGAGGCTCAGTACTTCTACATAAGAGATCTGAATGACGCAAAGGAACACTATGAATCAGTAGTGTACATAAGCCTTTAACCCTTCTATTAGTGTCCTCCTGGGAGGCAAAGAAGACAGATGCTCAGGTGGAATGTCAGGTTTAACTGAAGATCAGGTTTAGGTTTTCCTTTTTAATTTAGCTTTAAGGTACAGCTGATTGATAACCAACAGCTAATATTTACTCAGAGAGGTTGTGTGCTTTGTTAAACAAATGTATAGCATCTGACATAGATCTTGCATGTGTGTGTGTTTCTTTTGCTTTGTTTATTTTTTGCGCTGGTCCTAGGCCTTGAACTCAGGGTCTCCAGATCTCAATTGGCTTTCTTTGCTCACAGTTGGTGAACCACACCTATAGAGCCACCCCTTTAGTCCTGAATTTTCATGGGTTAATTGGAGATAGACCCTCATATACTTTTGTGCCCTTTGGCTTTGAAACACCATCTTTCAGGTCTCGGATTCCTACTGAAAAGCTAAGCTTTGAGATTTGAGTTACCAGTATCTGGCTTTATTATTATTTTGAGAAAGGATCTTGTTTCACATTCCAGGCTGCCCCTGAACTTAAAAATCCTCCTGCCTCAGTCTCCCAAGTGCTGGGATGAGAGGTAGGTAACCACCATGCCTGCTCCGACAGCATGGTTCCATTGTGAGCTTTTAGGGATTCTCCCAATCGCAGTTTTCATAGTTAAAGAAGTACACTGACAGTAGTATTGGGATTTTGTTTTTGTTTTCCAGTAGATACTAGTGAAATTCTCTGTTGGAATTTACCAGTGAGTATCACTTCAAATAGCTGCTGTTTTCTCTGAAGCAATTACAGAGGCAGAGAAATGAAATCATGGGATTCATCTTCTTTTCCAACTACCATACACAGAAGGAATCACAGATTCTTCTGTAAGATTAGACCCTGAAAAAGGGCCAGCTACCTTTCTGGAGCTGAGCCTGAGCTGTACTTATAGCCTGAAGCATACACTTCAGTTTCTGCAGTAGCATGTGACAGGAACGGTGCAAGTATGCAGATCACCAGCAGCCAGAGAAATGAAGTCACCAAGCAACAGCGTCAGCAGAAGCCCCACAGCCATAAACCAAGGAAGTCACTCAGGACTACCCCCTGAGGAAGAAAGCCTAGGGGAGGACCTTAATATCCTAGGGCTCTGACTAATCGTGATTCAGAGGCAAATCCTCTGTAGTTGTCTTCAAGACTGACACAGCCATAGGAGAGGGTTCAGTTCTAAAAGTGTTATTTGCACAAATTCATTACAAATTGCTTTAGCCCTGCATGCACGGGACACCCTCTCAAACCTCAAGAGAACTTTTGATATAACACAATACTAGCTACCACTTACTGACACTATGTGTCATACAATGCGTCAAGCATTCCTGGAGTACTTATTTTATTAATATTGTGAAAAATGCACTAGATGCAGGTCCAAGAATCCAAGTCCAAATGGCAAAAGTGCCATATGCTAGTTGCTTGATGTTAGAAGTAACCCAGCCCCTTTGCATTGGCTCATACATATTATAATTAACCAGATTTTATTTGAAAGTTATTTTTTAAAAAAACCATGTGACTTAACCACTGGCACAGGGCAGCTGCATGGTATGGTTTGAATTCAGCTTTTCCTGGCTTTCAAATCCAAGTTGTTGATTTTTTGTAAGATAGCATGCTGAGAAACTAATGTATGCGGAAAAACTGAAAAACTTCATTCTCCAAGAAAGTAGGAAGAGAGTATTAAAGTAGTAAGATGTTGGTTTTTGTTTCTCTCTTAAGAAAACAATTAAACTTCCTTACAATAAAGATGGGTCTAAACTTATCCATATCAACAACAGATATTGACCTCAGGACTTCCTGCTCTCCCTTCATTTTCTTGCTCAAGGCTGGTGTTTTACCACTTGAACCACACCTCTACTTCTGGCTTTTGTCCAGTTAATTGGAGATAAAAGTCTCATTGACTTTTCTTCCCTGGCTCAATCCTCAGATCTCGGACTCCAGAGTAGGTAGAGTTACAGACATGAGCCACTGGCACCTAGTAACTCTGTGTGTGTGTGTGTGTGTGTAGAAAGTACCATTGTCACTGTGTGTGTGTATGTGTGAGAAGAAAGTACCATTGTCACTGCAGCCCTTCCCTTTCTTCTGCTATTTCATCTCTACTCCTTTTATTACATAAGTATTCTTCCAAGTCCCTCAATTAACAGGGGCTCTAGTAATGTCATACACACACACACATTTGTATACACAACTCCATATCATTAACAATGACACAGAAGAAAAACATTTTGTTTTCATTAGAAGTATGCACATTCAAGGAAAATAGTGTTTATCTAGTCTGGTTAGTCTTAAAGGATAGGTCAGCAAAAATAGAGAAAGTAGAACACTACAAGGAAAAAAAATTGTTTTCTAAAATGAATGCATTCCAGAAAGCTTTGCTTTGATAGATAAATTTTTTCTTACAATTTCATTGAACTATAATAATTAGAAATCTCACCAAATAAAAAAGTCATTATGTATATAGTATTTGGAAAGTATTATTTTTACTAGAACACATTAGTTGTACAAGCATTATTTCATCATATTTCTGCACATGTACACAATGTATCCCAATCAGTCACACTTACTCTATAGCTCTTCCTTCATTAAACAATTTCATCATGTTTCATAAATAATGTTCATCATGTTTCGTAAATAAACTACTCTGTATCCTCATTCATCCTCTTCCTTATCCTTCCCTTCCTGTTGGTAGCCCTCCTCCCCCAAGCAGAACTTACTGGAAAATACTTTCTAAAACTACTTCTTTTATATATTCTAAAAATATAGAGAAAATCAAATGGAATGGGATAAAAATATCTTCTGCCAAAAATGATAGTAAATATTAATGAAATGGCAATACTAAAACATACAAATTGTCAAAATGTTATCAAGTGGGGTTATATTATTAGTTTTGGGGAACAGTACTGGGTTTTAAACTCAGGTGTTGGCATTTGAACTCAGGGCCTTGAGCTTAGTAGGCAGGCACTTTACTGCTGAACCAAGCCTCCAGTATAGCTGTACTAATATACTTCAAATACATGATGTATTACATAACTTTTTGGATTGTTGCTAGTTCCTCTGTTTTCCTAAAGAAGTCCGTGAGAATGGTTTTTTTTTTTCTTTAAGCTTTATGAATCATGTAGTAACTCCGTTTTTGTGAACTGCTTATTTTGCCATTTTTTTCTACTCATTGATTACTTTTTTCTGTTCAGCTTCTGAAATCTTAGGGAGATTATCCATTTGACAGAGACTAAGATTTGCATATACATTTTCCCCCACCTTCTGTTTTTGGTTATGGATTATCTGTTATAGAAAAGCTTATGGCTAAATTTATTAGTCTTTTATGATTTCTGAGTTTAAAGTCAAATTATAAAGTCTCTGCCCATTGAGGAATACATGAATAACTCTCTTGCGTTTCCTCCAGTACTTTCCTGATTCCAATTTAAAATCTTTGATCCAGTTGAATGAGTCCTAATATGCAGTGT